ACAGTTGAAATGATTGTTCACTTGAATATTACCACTACTTGAGCTACCTCTGGGTGGTCGAGAGGATTAAATGAGATAATACACGTAACATAGTAAATGCTCAGAAAATAGTAGCTGCTTTTCTCGTTTTTATCATCCACTCACTCTCCAGCACTGTCATATCTGGATGTAAGGCATTCCTTTCTACCCTGGCCAGTAGTCCTGATTTTATTGCTTAGCAACTTTATTGCTGTCGATAGCACTGCAAGTTTGCTTACTGATTGGATTTAGCTTCTGTAGTTGATGTTGTAGTAAATGTTTTGTAGGTTATTTTTAGATCCTAAATATAGGAGATAAAAGAAACAGAAGCTTAGATAATGTCATAGTTTCTCATTGATGTATTTCTCTGAAGTGTATGACTAAATAAAACGAGCAGTTTTCTAGGTTTTTTTTTTCCATGTGTTTACTATTAATAGCAATTGAAATAGCCTGACTCAGAGGTGAGATACTAATATCCTAGAAATCACTTTTTAAGGAGATTCAGAATCCATACTAGAACTCTGTTTCTTTTTAACAGAAAAAGTTAAACATTCCACTGCCTAGTAAGAGAATTTTTGAAAATACAGTAGCTAAATAATGACAACTTTGGAAACCTTCTCATTTCTTACAGTTTTAAAGGGAATAATCACAAATACAGCAGTTTTGAGTGGTAGCAACTTCAAAATTATTTAGCTCTATTTAGCATTTGTCTTTGCTCTTATCTTAAAATTTTTATTTAGTCAAAATACTAGTTATTCAGGCACAGTGGCTCACACCTGTAATCCTACCAGTTCGGGAGGCCAAGGCTGGAGGATCGCTTGAGGCCTCGAGTTCAAGATCAGCCCGAGCAACATAGTGAGACCCCACCTCTACAAAAAAATAGAAAAATTAGCTGGGCGTGGTGGTGCGCGCCTATAGTCCCAACTATTAGGGAGGCTGAGGCAGGAGGACCACTTGAGCCCAGGAGTTCAAGGTTGCAGTGAACTATGATGATGCCACTGCAGTCTAGCCCAGGCAAAAGTGAGACCCTGTCTCAAAAAAGAAAAACCAACTTTTCAAAAACTGTATATAGCAGAACATATATATACTTCAATAACTTTGTATATTTTCCTAGTAATAAATGCTGTATTAGTGACATGCTTCTGTTAAAATTATGTATGTGGGTCCAAATAAAACAATGCCCTTAAATTCTAGCATACTCCAGAGGCTCACTTTCAGCCTCAAGTGAACAGCCTCTATTCTGTCTCCTGCCTCCAAGTTTATTTAAGCAAAACTAAAGATTTTTTGTTTATAAATTAATTAGTAGGCTTTAAAATATAAACAGAATACCATGCAGTTTTAGAGGTGGAAAAGACCTATGTATTCTAGTTGAACACAACTGAATATTTTAATTGAATGATCTCAGTTTACAAAAGAAATGTACTTTACAAAATACTAGAAAGCTTACAGGGCTAGCTTGAGCCCCAGGGAGATTAACTGGCTTTCCTGAGGCCATCTTAGTAAGTAAGGCGAGAACATAGACTCGTATCCAGGTGGCCACTCATTCATTTCATTTCATTTAAAAATTTTATCACCACAGAGTTAAGATTCAGAACATATGATTTTCCATGTGAGCCATTTTAAGGATAGAAAATATGTAGAATTTTTTCTTCTACCACCTTGTAGAAAATATTAGCACCCGAATTTTGGCTAGATGAGACAACAGAGGTTAGTTCCAAAATATTTTCATATCAGCAAGGATATTCTACTAGAAACATTTATTTGGACAAATGATAAGTTGGAATTTAGGTGATCCTAATAGCTGGGATGGTTCATGTGCATTTGTTTTCCCAGGTGTTGCTCTATTACCATTTGTGGATGAGCGAAGGCTGCGAGCTGCCCTAGAAGAGGTATACCCAGACCTCACTCCAGAAGAGAGTAAGAATTACACTTCCACTTGATCAACATTGATCTGTGTAATATAGACTTTACATTTCTGTGTAAAATTAGACAGTTATGTTCCATTTGTCAATTTCCCATAAAGGGAAACATAAATCATTGATTTTACTTTTTTATAACAAATATTAACTTTGCTTCTTAATTTATTATCTTTAACTTGAGTAGTACTTAAATGTTTGTTAAATTTTTAAGAAAGCAGCACTTCATGAATATCCTTTGAATTTTTTATTATTATATGACATTCACACACAAAAGTATTTTTGCATGTTGGGAAGATATTGTTCATTTCCTCCATCTGCCTTCTCCCCTACTACTCACCTGCCCCCAAATAATAACAGCTTTACTTGAAAGTTTAGGGTGAAACAAACACATTTGCCCTTAGTGTGCTAACTTGAAATGTTATTTTGCATAAAAAGTGGAATTTTATAATTAATTCCAATAGTAGTATTCAGACTGGGAAATTACAAAACTGGGCTCTATTGAAAAATTTATTTAATGCCAGTATAATAAGCCTGTAGAAACAATTTCTTTACTAACTACGTTTAGAATAATCTTTGTCATCAGATGATACAGTTTGAGTTTCCTCGGGGAATGTTTATATATTTTGTATACTAAGGAACTCAGTTCTTTATAAATGACCTTGCCTTTTTATCTTGCAGTATATTCAGATACCTTACAGTGATTTTTTTTCCTGATAGTGATTGATCTTTGATACCTGTTGTCAAAATATTTTTTTCTTCCATAGAGACATATCATATAGTTAGGTCTGTCACTTCTTAAAAATGAAAAAAAAAAACTTTTTAGATCGATATGTAATCGTATATGTTTTTTTGGACACATATGATATTTTAATATCTGTATACATTGTATAATGATGAAATCAGGGTAATCGGGATGTCCATCACCCGATTTTTCTTTGTATTGGGAACATTATAATTCTTGTCTTCTAACTATTTTGAAATATACAATAAGTTATTGTTAACTAATTTCCCTGCGATGCTATCAAATACTAAAACTTATTCCTTCTGTATAACATATCACTTTTAAGTTTTTGTAATTTTATAATTAAGTTTTAAAAACTTAGATGCTTTCCCATGTATTACTCTCATAAAAATTGGTCTTGCACATATAATTTTTTAATGTATAGATCTTCTTTTTTTATTTTCCCTCCAGCCAAAAGAAACAGCCTTGGAGGTGATGTCTTATTTGTCGGGAAACATCACCCACTCCACGACTTCATTTTAGAGCTGTACCAAACAGGTTCTACTAAGGTATGGAATGCAGTTTGGTTAATTAGGAATACATATTTTTTACATTTTGCTAAAATATACATAACGTAAATTTACCATTGTAATCATTTTTAAGTGGCATTAATTATATTCATAGTGTTGTGCAACCATCACCATTATCCATTTCCAGAACTTGTTCATCTTTCTTAACAGAAATTCTGTACCCTTTAAACAATATTAAATGTCTCTTCATTCTGCCCTTCCCCTGGCCTCTGGTAACTTCTGTTCCACTTTCTGTCTCTGTGAATTTGCTTATCTTGGGTACTTCATGTAAGTGGAATCATATAATACTTGTCATTTGTGTCTGGATTATACTACAGTGTTTTCAAGGTTCATCCATGTTGTAGCGTGTATCAGAATTTCATTCCTTTTTATGGCTGTTACTCCACTTGTATGTATGTACTACATGTTGTTTATTCATTCATCTATTGATGGACATTTGGGTTTTTTCCACCTTTTGGTTTTTATAAATAATGCTGTGAACATTGGTGTAAAAGTATCTGCTTAAGTCCCCATTTTCCATTCTTTTGGGTACGTAATCAGGAGTGCATTTTTCCACAGCCAGTGGATGTACCGCCTGAACTATGTCATGGGATTCAAGGAAGGTTTTCTTTGGATGAAGAAGCCATTCTTCCAGATCGGTAAATGTTCATTGTACATACTAATAATTGAGGCAACTGGAAAAAAGTTTAGTCAGCATTTTTTCCTTATCGTCTAAATGTTTATTTTCTAGTAATAGTGAGACAATTATATTTAAAACAAAACAAAACCCTGCTGACTAAAAAAGCCTTGGATTTATAGTCCAGCTCTCCATATATATATATATATAGTAGCTGTGTCACCTTG